TGATTTTTCCAAATACTACTTTTCCCTCGAAAATTTGAACGTACAATAGTTCCAGCACAATATATCCGTTTTAATAAATATATATTATTACCTACTACATAATAATGATAAATAATATAAAGATCATTCGACATATTTTCTTCAAAATATTTAGACCACAATAATASTATTATTGTTTAAATCAGAATAATTATCAACTAATCGTCGTCTTGTTTGTCGGACAATTGTTTTCATTTTTTGTGCGTGATTTTACAAAAGGTCTACCATACGCTCTTAAATAAGGCTTGTAAGATCCGATGGATAATCGATAACGAGGCCAATTAATTTTCAAAATACATAGTATTACCAACAGTTTCTTTAGTATTATTTCTAAATCAATAATTGAAATACTAGACACAACAATAGTATGTCGTTTAAGTACTATATTKAAACCTGTTGTGGCTGTGGCTGGATCATTTCAGTGAATAATTAATACCACATTTTTCACCGTGGAAATCGAATTTTTTTCGTAGGACTTAGAAAAAACTTAAATACCTAATACCTTTTAAAGGCGAATGACTAAGTGGATTTAGTAGAAAAAATAAGCCAACAACACATCATACACATAATAATATAACATATGTTATAACTTACAAAGATCCGTGAAATTTAAATATTTAAGGTTATGACGTGTCCAAACATRTATTCTCTTTTTGCCTACTGTAAAAACATAATAATTATGCAACAGCAGTATAATATGTATAAGGAGACGGACAATGAGTCAAATGTAATGCTCATTATTTATACGCGGGTTTTTGTGTATAAAAAATAAACCACAGGAGGCCCTAGAAATGRTTTGAGTATTGTAAAGGTGGGGACATTTTKAGAACACCTAGGCCAGGCCACTTTAGTATCAACTTGCGAGCAATAGCCGCTATAGCTATCTTCTACCCCGTGTGATCTATACGACACTCATTGTGCAAAAATCCGTCGAACCAGTTAGATGTCATGGGCGCGCTACTTCAATTTCTGTTAACGACTGTGTTCGTTGCGTTGGTTTTCTCTCAAAACGATTTACAAGGTAATTGTGGTGTTTTGTTATACATAAAAAATTATTT